TTCACCCTTGCGCCTTCGTCTTACCCCTGCTGTTGAACCACTGTCTGTGCCTCCATACGTTGGGAAGCACGTGCTATTCGAAGGGAAGCGAGGGGGAAAAAAAAGATTCAACTCATTTCAGCTACGGGAAAAACATAGTCTTGCCTAACGTGCTAGAATAAGCCGAAAGAAAAGATTTGGGAAAGAAAATTCAAATTTGGAGCAGGGGAGGGAAGACGAGGGAGGTGTTTTGGTTAAAGTTTCTAGAGAAGAAACTAGAATGAAAAGGAGGTAGGTATAAAGCTTTAGGAAACTTCTATCTAGTGGTACTTTTTTTTTCAACACAAACCTTTGGGTTGGGTTTCCTTTCCTTCTGGAAGCACCCTGACTGACTCCTGCCAACACTCTGAGTCTTAGAGTCTCTTGTGGAAAGAGAGATGGTTTCTCTCTCTCCCTGTCTCCTGTTTTCTTTCTTTCTTAATTTTCTTTTAAGAAAGAGTAGAAAGAGAGAGGTGGAAGGACAAGAGATCACCACCAGTGGGCCAGGAAGGGTGTAGCCATCTTCTCAAGAACAAAGCACCAGGTGTTTCCATCCAATTTCTCTTCTCATCCTGGGTTTTGGTGTAGTTCTTGAGGCCACTGTTGTTTTTAATCTCAAAACGCTGGCCCATTTTCACTTGGAGGTACCACAAGACCCTGACCCTTAAGGACTGAGGAGGCCTGAACTTTTGGTTCCACCTCCATCGAGAAGCCAGCGTTTAGGTGGGAATCCAAACCGAGCTTAAGCTACAGCTGATCCTGCCACGCCAGTTTTGCTGTTCGGGAAAGAGGAGCAAAGACTAGGAAAGAAAGTTTGGTTCAGGAAGAAAAGAAAGGGAAGGGTCAAAGGAAGGGAGGATCTCTGGTGAGGCTACCATCACAAGCTTCTGACATCACGTCTGGATAACGTCACAATGTTGAGTTTGGTCATTCTAAGGCAGTTTTCTACTGGAAAAATCGCCATTGCTACAACAGAGGGAGGTTGGAGAGAAGTTCTCTTGCCTCCAACTAGAGATGACCCTTCCCTGGAGACTCAGTTGGGCCCCCCAAAATCAGAATTGCAAGGGGGCCTATTTGGATGTTTCAATCAGTAGCTCCTTGTGTGGCCTCGCAACCTTGATCTGAAGCTTCTTAATTCCTGCACCAGAGCCCATCCTTCATTCCTCCTCCAGTTAAAGCTTTACATCTTTGGAAGCAGTTCAGCCATTATTCTTTTTTTTATACGTGTCATCCTCTTAAAAATATTTGGATAGAGACCTTATAGATATGCAATATATAGATATATAGATAGATCCACCCCCCCAAAAAAAAGTTTCTGAAAGAAGCAGCAAGGAGAAGGAGGAAAGAGGAGAAGGAAAGCAGGTTTGGGGGCAAGGGTCCCCCCAGGATGGAGGAGAGGTGGAAAGTTTTGGGGGGATCGCTGTTACTCCAACTTTTGGTTTAATGATATTTGGTACGCTGGTGCCGAATTCCCAGGCACCCTGGGTGGGGATAGCAGAAAGGGACTCACTGGGGAATAATTTGGGGGCCTCCACCTCCCCTCTCTCACATTGGCACAACTTCCATCTCCATCCCAAGCCAGGAGCAGCGAGAAGCCAACCATTTCTTCTCCCCACCTTCCATTTCCTCCTTTGGATGGCTGCCGCACGGTCTGGAAACTTTGGGGTGCTGTGGAAAACTGGTCCCCACGTTTCTTCCCCCCTTTGGCGAGGAACTACTGGGGGGGAGGTCTTATTTGGCAGCCAGAGTGGCTGGCAGTTGAGGTAGTCTTCGTATTTTGTATCAAAAATAGATCCTCCGGGATAATGGGGAAGGGGGAGTAGTCGAGGGGAAGAGGTGACTGGAGTAGAAACTGGGGTCTCCAGGAGAGGTGAGGTAGTTTCTTTGGAGGTTTGCGGGTGGTGGGGTAAGGGGAGGCCCAACCTCTCTGAAGCTGCCACCCTGCTCCTTGGAAGGCCTCTCCCTACGCCACGTTCCCGGGGCCTTAGGCTAACCGCTGGGCTGGGACGGAAGGCAGCGCTCAACGGTGACTTCAAAATGAGGACCGTCCCGGGTGGTGTGTCCGTCTGAGGAGGAGCTGTTCTGCAAAGAGAAAGCAAGCACGACCAGGTTGGAGCCCCTCTTCGAGGTCATCCTGCCCCCTTCTCACTGTCCGCCCCTGCATCACATCCCCCCTTTTTGCTTCTCCCCAAAAGTCGGGTTTCCTTCAAGTCAAGGTGAACTCCTATGGAACCTCCACGAAATTGTCCAGCCACGTTTGCATGGTGCCCATAACGGATCCAGTTTGCCCATTGCTTCTCCCCTTCTGACCCCAGCACCAGAAGCCCCACAGAAAGTGCTTCAAAGAGAGGGCTCTGGATGAGCCCGTTTTATGGCAAGAAGAGCCGTGACGAAGAAGTCCAGCGGCTGCAGAATATAACGCACCCGCTAGCAGAATTCAACACCTGAATTGCTTTCTCTTGCTCACCTGGTGTAGCAAGTTGAGAGGGTGTAGCAAGTTGAGCACTGCTCAATTTACGTGGAGGGAGAAGAAGCAATCACCGTCTGGGTATTATTATTCTAAGTGACCAGCCAAGTGTGAGGCTGTTGGCTTTCAACTTTGCCCAGTCTAGCCCCTAAGCTTGTATATCTCTGGGAAGTTGACTTCTCCATCTAGCTCCCAGCCCTAGAGTTCCAGGGCTTTTCAGCCAGAAGCAGGCTCAAATGATCCTCCTTCGGATCTGTAACGCAAAGACCCAGCTCTTTGGAGAAGGCTGTAATGCTGGGAAAGGTGGAAGGAAAGAGAAGAAGAGGGCAACCAGCAGCAAGGTGGACGGACTCAGTTACGGTGATGATGGGGGCACCATTGGAACACCTGAAGGACCAGGTTGAGGACAGATCTTCAGGGGGAATATCTACTGTATGTGGTCACTAGGAGTCAAAAATGACTTGATGGCACCTAATCAATCAGAAGAGAGGTCATGTAGACCAAAACTTGGCGAGTCACAAGCAGACAGCGCTGCATCGTTCTCTGCTACGTGGTGCCCACCAAACACGTTGGATCTCAACGCCATGAGTGATCCGATTGCTTTTCTACCTGGAACAGTCAGCAAGACGGTAGGAACTGCACTCCATCTGACCTGCTGGCCACCGCGTTGCAGAAGGCTGTCCTACTTAAATTCCCCCAGGGAAGAAGGATCTCCCTCCTTCCCCACCATCCAACCCTTTCTCAGCACCAAGACCTTCTTCTGAACGTAGATCAATGCAACAACCAATTTGTCCTCACCCGAGACACCAGTTCCACCATTTCTGGAGGCTTCGCCCTGCTCTCCGGCTTGCGTGGGGTAAGAGGAGGATCCTGGGAGCCGGTTGGCACCAATTCGGTTCCTTGCGGGACAGTCCAATTTTCCTGCGCTCCTTTCTTACAGAAGAGGCTGGAGAGGAAAAGCAGAAAAAGAGTTACCCCCACCGAAGGGACCCCCACCAAAAGGAACCCGAAATGTTTGTTAAGCGCGGTCCGCAAAACGAAGAAGGGCAAAAAGACAACCCTTGGGGAGTGCTTGAAGGGAGTTAAAAAACACCACCAACTGCCCTAAGGCTGTTTCTGGCCTTTTGAGATAGACTGCTGCAGGATGTGGATGCTCCATTAACTGCAAAGCAGAACACGGTCATTTGAGTGAAGGAAACGGAGCCCGCGGAGACGCAGAAGGCAAGCGCTCCACTGGGCTTCCTAAGACACCTTTGCCTCTTGACATCTTCTTCGAGGTCGCGCCTACCTCTGCGTGCGGTGTAGCTAGTGGGGAGTGGAGGAAAGGAGGCCTCATAGAATGGAACAATTTCAGGGAGGCCGGGGCCTTCAAAACACTCACCTCTTGCGGTAGCCGAACATCAGGAAGAGCACGCAAAAAATAATGCACGCCATGCCGATGTGAACACCCACCACGATGCCGGCAAGGGAGGCGTCCCCGTCTTGCCTGCATTGGCAAACCGAGTTGGCATCTGCAGAGAGAGAAGTGGGGGGGGGGCATCAGTAGATCTCCCACTTTGAAACGTGGCATTGCGATGGGAGCGACCCGCCTAAACTACTCGCAACTCTTCTGCCAGGCAGAGAACAGATGTGTGGGATTCTGGAGTGGGCGAGAAGCTTGAGCGTTCTTTGACTCACATGGTTTGGTCACGTTCCTTCACACCTTCGGTTGGTCTGGTTAGTATGTGTGTGAACACAATCTAAATTGTTCAGGATGTAGAAAACGGGATGCTGAATTATACTCCCCCAATAGGGAATTTAACCAAGGAACACGGCTTCTAAGAGATTTACCCTCCAGGAGACGTGTTTCTTCCTGGAGTGCCTTTCTGTTCTGCAAAGGAGGCGTAACGCGCTTCTGTACGATCCAGATTTAATAACGTCTCAAAAGACTGAGCTCGTTTGCGCTTCGTCTTACATGGATCATTTTTCTTTGCCTTTTCTTATATTTTAGTTTATTTTACTCCCTTTGATGTGCATTCTTTAACGCGCCATTCGTGGGGCATTCTTGTTCTTTCATTCAGCGCAAAATTCAAGACATTTGGGGGGGGGAGATATACTGCCTCGGAACATGGAGGTTCCACCTCACAGCTTTCCTTGCTCCTTCTCCCACCCCCTTGCAACCTGTCCAACCAAGGCTGTTGCTACATCGTGCCCTAGATGTCATTCCCCTAACTTAGTTGGAGGGCAACTCTCCTTGCCAGCTTTTACCCAGCCTCTCTGAATTCTCCTGGAGTGAGACAAATCGCACGCTACTGTTCCCGTCACCGTTCCCGTTGAACGCCTGGAGTTTGATCTCGTAGGTGGCTGCCGGTTCTGTGGGGAGAAGAGAGAGCCACGTGGGGGCAGCTCCAGGGAGAAACTCAAGGGGGCAGCCTTTCCAGCTAGTGAGGGCTACAGCAGGACAATGTAGAAGCCATGGACGGACGGATGGGTGGATGGATGGAGAGAGAGGATAGACAGACAGACAGACAGACAGAGACAGACGGAAGACAGCCGGATGGCAGACGGGTGGCAGACAGACAGATAGATAGATGGAAGAGATTAGATGGATGGAAGGAGAGAGAGAGAGAGAGAGAGAGAGAGAGCAGAGATGATGCATAGATGGATAGATGGATGATAGACAAATGGAAGACAGACAGACAGACAGAGACAGCGGGAAGACAGCCGGATGGCAGACGGGTGGCAGACAGACAGATAGAGAGATGGAAGAGAGTAGATGGATGGAAGGAGAGAGAGAGAGAGAGAAAGAGAATAGATGATGGATAGATGGATAGATGGATGATAGACAAATGGAAGACAGACAGACAGACAGATGATAGACAGATGGAAGACGGATGGACGGACTGACTGACTGACTGACTGACTGACTGACTGACTGACTGACTGACTGACTGACTGACTTCCCCTGGAACCCACATTAAAGAATTGCAAAGTTGCAGAGCAACATCGGTGCTGCAGCGCTGCAGAGAAAGAATTTTGCAAATCTCTCGGTTGCATCACGGAGCAGCCACAGCAAACAGCGACGGGCTGCGATGGAGAAATGCAGAAGTGTTCCCCTTCTCAGGAACAGGCAGATGGGCTGTGGGGTTGCTCCAGCTGCGGGCAAACCAAGGAACAATCGTCTTTCCCTTCGCGTCCTCCACCAGCATTGCCCCTTTGACGGGCAGCTGAACCGGCAGAGAGGGGTATTTCCCAGAATCTTTGGCCAACGGGGTGCCAGTCCCAAGGCCTGGCCTGTCCTTCCGGAGGTGCAGAGAACTCACCCAAGTTGCTGTAGATAAAGGAGTTGGCCGTGCCAGGCAAGATCTGAGGCCCCTCGTAGTGGGCACTGGGCAGCTTCCGAAGGTAAAGTTTGAACCCTTCGATCCCGCCGGGCTTCAAGGGCAGCTCTAAAAACACCTGGATGGTGCTGACGTTCAGGATCTTGGTGAAAAAGCCCACGGCGGCAGGGACTAGAGAGAACAGGATGAGGGAGTGACTTTCCTCCCCAGAGACGCAAGATGTAGGATCCGTTTTCCTGCCGTCCTGAGCATTGCCTAGCAGTGGACAACCAGAGCAGGGCTGAGTTCCTGTTATCGATCAGGGCGCGCACCAGGTCTCCAATCTGCCAATGCCCGTTG